GTAATCGTTCTTACCCTTACTTTCAAGTGTCTTCTTCATATAACCTTCTGCAAGGTGATAAAGGTTTTTGAAAGTGTATCACAAGGCAGCTCATAAAATGAGCTTTCTACAGCGCCAATAAGCTCCTCGACTGTTCGAGTACACTTTTGACTTTGCAGACTTTGATTACTGTTAAAATACCCTAAATCTAAAATATTCATGTCAGGGCTGTTAGATGGCTGATTGATAGTGACAATTCCTTGTACACCTCGCTCCAAAAGCATCTTCGAAGTCACGCAATTGTGGGGACTCGCATTGTCTTGCTGCAGATAGATCGTACCTGCCCTGGACGGTCCTTGGCATATTTCCCTTGGAGGCGTTGCAGTCGGCATCAGTAGGGAATTTAGAGTATATGTTGTATCGATGGCGATGGTTCAAGTTGTATAACGATGTCTGGGCGGGTGTGTGTATGTGAATTTTACTTGCGAGACCAACTTTCACAAGCGTAACGTTTGAGCTAAAACAAATTGGAACACTCAAAGCATAGCCAATCAAAGTAGAGTATTCGCGCTATTTAACGCACCAATCAGATGCACTGAATTAGCAATACTAGAAAAGTCCCGCCAATAAGAAGTCAAAGGGTGCTATCATTTCAGACCAGATGGTAACCAGTTTTGGCCTGGGCAAAACCCACACTATGTCGGTATTCAATTCGACAGGTTGAGTTTCAAACGAAATAGAATACTTTTGGCAGTTAACCAAATGTAAACAGATGTTTACATTTTGTAAACTGACACGATTGACAAACTTTCGTGACGAATTGTGACTTTATTTGAACGTTTTTACATTTTGTAAACTGACACGATTGGCAAACTTTCGTGACGAATTGTGACTTTATTTGACATGTGAACGTATTTTCGCGGACTGTCAACAATCTAGGAGCATAATGTCAACGTTGCATACTGTTATACGAGCCAAGCGATATGAAATTCAAGAATGTTAGGTTGGGATTTTTTGGGTTGAAGGTTGACGAAACCGACGAAACTTCAATGTTCGAGGTGTGATTTCACGTGAACCAACACGAAGTTCATGAATCTGATTACATATTCGTTGAAAACTACTTCCTCTGCCCCATATTACTGGTCGATATGACATCTCGTCGACCCCAAATATTCATTTCTTCACCAAATTCGATTAAATTTATCATTAAATAGAGAGCATAAAAACTCCACAGGAACCGTCCATTGGCTGTCGAGAGCTTAACTTGAATATTGGCGATCAAAATCAACTTCCAATTTCCACCACCCGAATAAAAAACGCCACATATATAGATCAACACACTTTTGAATTTCACGCCATGACGCAAGCCTCACGCGAGCTTTCCAGCACCAAGAAAGAGGACGTGATCCGACGCCTACACCTCTACGTTACGGTGGCAAATTCACCCACGGCGCCTTCGTCGAATAACTTGACGTACGTTAGTACATGTGTGGTTTCCACCACCTGGCGCAAGTTCCGCAACGAAGGAACGACCGAATCGAACAAGGCAGACAAAGTTAAGCGAAGACCGCGACACACGTCCAAAGCCATCCAACAGAACGTGGGTGCAGTCCCCATCGACCAACACTCCACGATGCGTGACATTTCTATCGTCACTGGTATCCCACTTGGAACGCTGAGCCGGCACCTCAACAAGGGGGCCTTTCGCCGTCGCTCTACACGCATCAAGACCCTCGTGTCCGACGCCAACAAGCTGGAACGCGTCCGTCCACTTGGATGAGAAGTGGTTGAATGCAGACATGCTGAAAGTGATGTTTCGGTGGCCGCTGTCGCACGCCCACCCTATGACGAAGTTCGTGGCGTTCTGTTCGATGGAAAGGTTGGGATGTGGCCCTTTGTCTTCTTGGTTCCTGCTCTCTGTTAGTTACGTAATCGTCCTGCTGGCACGTTGGTCTCAACATTGGTCAACGTCAATGCCCTGGTGTATCGAGACTTTGTCATTAACAAGGTCGTACCAGCAATGAAGCCATTATTCTCAAGCGCGAAGAAGTGCGTCATCCTACAACAAGACAATGCTACGCCACATCGTTCGATCACGGACGCCGAGTTTGTGTCTGTCTCAACGGACGGATGGACGTTTGTGATGCGTAGCCAGTCCCCAAACAGCCCGGACATGAACGTGCTGGACCTCGGGTTCTTCGCTTCTATTCAATCACTGCAGTTGAAGAAGGTTAGTTGCACTGTGGAGAGGTGATCCGATGCACTCTCGCTGCATTTGACGAGTTGAGCTATGAGAAACTCGAGAGCGTATTTCTCACCTTTCAAGCGGTGATGCGGCTTGTACTCGAGCATGCTAGCGACAACAAACTTGCCTTGCCCCATCTGAAGAAGACGGCTCTGCGCCGCGCTGGTCTACTCATCTTCTCATGTTGAACGTGTCCTGCCCTGTCTCGCTTCTATTGTAGGCCAGGGATTAATATCCAATGATAGTGCTGAATTTTCTTGTAAGCCAATCATATGAGTTTGGTCTCAGTAATATGGGACAAAGGAAGTAGATGAGAAGATGAGAGGTCTATGGGCAAAACATTTGGAAGGATTTGGACAAAGTTTAGGTAGTTTAAAGGTAAACTGGGTTGTTTATATTTCGAAAACATTTTATTATCCAACTTTTTATTCGAAACGATATTACGTTTTGCGAGTTTTGCCCAGGCGAAACCGGATTTCACGACCTCTGATCGAGACTACAGTATCTACTGTTACTTGGTGGTTCACGAATCAAATACGAAACGTTATTGTATCTAGTATATACTACTAGTACTACTAACCAAAGTGGTGGTGGGTTTGCACAAGTAAAGATGAGGTGCACGTCATGAAAATGCAACATGAGTAGAACCTCGCATGCACTACAGCAAGACCAACTCAAAGACTGGATGTTGAAAAGGTACTTGTTGGGGGCTGGACCTTATCGACACCTCAAACAAGCAGCGTGAATCGAGCCGAGCCACGAGTCAATTTGACGAAGTTGTCGTGTTGCCAACATGAAGTCAGCCATCATCCAAGACAGTGGCTTGGACGAGGCAAGTGGCAACATACTACCGGTAGTACACAAGCGAGAATTTGGTCGATTACATTATGAATAACTGGACAAGATTTGATGTTCTTTACTTCGAAATGTTAATGTTTACTTCGAAATATGTTGGTGCTAGCATGTTCGAGTCAAAGCCTCTGTCATATAATAGGTTTCTAAATCAATTGGTAACTTTTTTCGGAAGATAGGTCTTATCTCTGGAAGTACGTGTTGGTTTCGGTTGGTCAGCGACGTATTAATCAGCCGAGATCACATTTCGAAAATGTAATCCCTACTGATTTGGATGTATTGACCTGATCAGCCACCACCTCATTT